ATTTGTTCGTATATTTCAAGCAAATCTTACATAATAAATAATAATCTTTTATGGAATAAATTTATTGTTTTATGCTATCGTTTGATATACAAATGCCTTTTTTGTTTGCATACAGTTTTTATTTTTAAATAATAAAGATCACAGTAACAACTTTTACCATTAGAAATACCTGTTCAGGAATGTTACATTTTAAAGTCTTCTATTCAGCCCTACGCTTTTTTCGGGATTAAATGGAACGCACCTGCTGTGTAATACAACCTATTTTAATGTGAAAAATGAGTTAACTTTGTCACTCTGTACAGCTGTCGCTCTGATAATCATTTGAAACATTTTAAAATTACAGAAGCCTATTCCTCGAAAAACTGAAGGTAATTAGTATGATATATTCAACCATGGCCACTACCATCATAAACAACGAAAATTATACGGGTTGCAAGTTTCAGCTGCTGTTCTGTCATTATGTTGTAGGACTAAACACCACTCGTTATACAACTGACAAATTTCACTTGGCGTTTCTTTTACATCGCACGTAATTCTTATACAAGTGGCGTTTGGATCTTTCGCATGTTGCACTGAATTTTCAGACAAATCAAAAATTTTAAACTTGTGTACGTGTATAAATGTATTTACGCTCAAGCCATATTTGATATATCATAAGATGTGTTGGTACGATATTATTTATTTATTCTATTACAACTTTTATGGGATGAGAATAACTCCATAACACCTTCTGTTTTACACTTTTCTAATATTCATTCCGCTTTTAATTTATTTTTGTAACATTTTGTATATATTACAATTAACAGAAAATTTAACAGGTAAATTACATTTTAGGAAAGTAACAAACGATAGAAGTGACTTGCGTTCTTCTTGAGACACTGACAATGGCTGAGCTAAGAAATTTCTAGCATTTTATCGAACCCGAAGGCTATTTAAAGTGTTGACTGCAGACTCCTCTGTGTCAGTTGAATTTATTTCGCACCCTTAGAGCCTGTTTTATTAAGATCTGTCTCATTAACACGTTCACATGAAGATTGACTGTCTTGTGGGTGAACTTCTGTCGAAATACACGGATCAAAAATCTAAAATGAAGGACCAGGACATTTTAACATTTTATCTTTTTGTTGAGACCATGTATTGTAAACAAATAAAAAATAACAACAGAGACTCGAGAAGGTTGAGATGATATCTGTAATCCACAGTTCCTGTTTCTTTATTTATTGACATCCATAACATAACATCTCACTGTCGATTGTATTGGCCATACAAATGCTGAAGAAACTTTGAGAATTGTCGCAAACAAATTTTAGTTCCATTTGCATTTATGATTCACATTATATCCGAAACGAAATATAATTTTCTTTTCACACTCATATCTAGAGCTGCAATAAATTTAGGGCGTCTTACTGGTTATTTCTTAATTGCCGGGAGATCTGTCTGGTATTTATTTTAAAGGGGAGAATTGTCAAACATAGACAAAGGTTTGATATCCCACCACTCAAATGTAAGACGCAGGGTGCACTTTTATAGAAACTTATAAAAACTATGTAATATATAAAGTCAGACAGATCTTAGATACCTTAATTTCCGAACTGTTTGTTTATGTAGACTTATGAACATCAAGATATTAATTATCACACGTAATAGCCATGTATGATGATTCATGCCAAATTTCTTTCAAACTGAACCTGCGTTCCAAAACCCTCCTCCACGTCTCTCTGTATCTTTTACGTCACGGCATCCCCAGCTTATACTAGGAGCACTTGAAAGTGTTTCCTGGCCTTTCTGAATAACTTGCTACTTCCCTCATCAATCTGCTAATGCAGAAAAGAGGAAGATTCTTCAAAGAGGAAAGGAAATTTATCTCTTATGTGTCAGGTCATAAGCTACACAGTAGCACATGACATACGTTTCATAATATTGAAAGAGAGGAAATTTTAGGGCACTCGCTGGGTGGGGTCACGAGTTAAAGTCCTAAAGTAGGATATGATGAATATTTGTCCACGTTCTTTACTGCCCTGTGTTGTTCTTGTGACGATAGCCAGTGGAAAAATCCCTTCGTCGTATATAGAAATCAATTATGTACATGCAAGTAGAAGGATATCGCAGTCGAAGTAGGACACTGTTTGAATTTTAAAGACATAAAAGGACTCACAACCCAGAAGACAGAAATCGTCGACTCTACTTAACTTCGGATATGCTACGACCGTCATCGCGTCATTCCACTGACTTATCTGTTATTGACGTCAAATCCCGTTTTATATTGATACTGAAAAATAGAAGTCGTAGGAAAAGTGGTCAGAACTGGATGTATGAAGCGTAATTCTGTTTGCTTTGTCGCTCACATCAGCATTAGAATTATCCACGAGCACGTACAGGTAAAGCTGTTAGTGGGCGGTATTCGGCTGATACATGACTCACATTTTGTGTCAAACAGAAGAAAACTGCCATACCCAGGCTGTACAATCGCTTTGTTTTACATAAAATGTGGTTGTTTGTATTCTGAATCATGTAGGCGTGCTTCACTTTCTATGTCAGGGGTGGACACAATTATAATGATCCAGTTTTGGTGTGGTTGCTGTGATTAACTACGACCATTTCACTTCCTAGTGAACATCAGAATTTAACCAACAAATTTCAATATATTTCGTTACAGCTCAATCAGAAATGGTCTGCTGTTTCGTACTTTACTTTTCTGCATTATTATTATCATCAATAAAATAACTTTTTTAATCTAACTTATAGTTTTCTATTCATTTATAGGATAGTTAAATATCATCCTCAAAGGTAACTGTACACATCCTCTAGACAAGAAAAATTTAAGAACAAGAAAAAATAACTTTGTTACGTGTTGGTATGAGTCTGCAGATTAAAGTGGGACGATCCCATTTTAACAAATATTATGCATTAACTTGAATCTACATTTAAACTTGTGCTTGACAATTCCACAAAAAACCAGAGTTTTGTATAGCAGTGTTTCTTAACATTTCTGGCACCTTAAACACTTCACCCAAAATTATCTCACACATTTTGATTAAATAAAATGTATACAAACTTATATACAGATAGAAGAAACAGTTTTTTCTAAATGTAAATGGATGCAGGTAGGCTTTGTCAATACATTATCTTAATATATTTAGTTACTTCCGAAAGAATGCGATGAAATATTTAAATATTCCTTCATCAATGAGTCTACGCGTCCATTCAGCATTCTCTTAATTTCACAGTCAAACGTGATCACTCGCCACAGCGTCACATGTAAGAAGCTCCGATTGGAACACACAAAACCCATTTCCTTATAGCCTAATTTTTATAGTCCCACAGATCTTGTGTTCCTTAGCGTTTTGTAATATTTGTTAGAAACACAGAAGCCTAGTCGACCAGACAAAGTTTAAATGGCTGCTATCAGTCCTACATGTCTAACCGAATGACGTATGTAAACAGTCATATACTTTTACAGTGTGACTTATATATGCTCTAATGGCGCCCGGAAGCGTAGATCTGTCTGATTGTAACTTCCGTTGTTCCGATTGCAACGCTGAGATCATACTCGCTTTTCTTTTGTCCCTCGCTGCTCAATTAGAACCAGTATAATGAATAATGCACACTCATAATCTGATGGTACGTGATTTGTATTTTAAATCTGCTTTCCTCTATTGTGTTAATCAGGGTTATGAGACCACCATGTTTGAATTAGTTGAACGATTCTTGTTAAACTTGGTGTGAACGTTATGCCATTGGAGACCAATCAAACCTCATATACTTCAACTTCCTACAGTCGGTGATGACAGTACGGCGGACGACCGAATTTGTAAGGTGGGCGAGACACTAGCGCCTATCTAAAGATATTTTTATGTCAAAGTTCATTTGACCTTTAAAAGTGGTTCTTAGAATCAAATGAAACGTAGGATAGTCCCGTACTTTATTAAGAAATGTCATATAGACCTGTAATATATCAGCAAAATATGTCGTAGGAGTGAAGAGGTATTTTATAATTAAATTGTATTTGCTTTCTTTATCACACCCATTAATATAAACAGAAACAAATATCATAACTGCCAGCCAATGTTTCTTGTAAATTTATCATACCGAATATAGGACAGTTCTGACCAACTACACACAACAATATTCTCAATTAGCAACACCAATAAACCATTCATGATGTATACCCAAAGAATTGCCTAGAACTGCAATATTGGTGATATTACTTGTGAATATTGCATGCAAATGTTAAAAATTGTCCTTTTTCGTATCTGTTACATAACAGATAAAAGTTTATTACATGCATAAGCTTTGGATGAGAAAAGAACAATTAGTTTTGTAGCTCAGCCATTTTACAAAATATATTAATAATACAGGTTATTCGTGTTGTGCGTCTTGGCTTAAGTCAAAGATATTTTTGGTAATATTTAAATATTTAGACCTAACTTTAAATAAAATAAAGCCCATAACAAATATTAAATAGTTAATGCTGTTTAAGGAATTAATAATTGTTTACTCTGAAATTCACATAAAACCGAGAAGAACAGTTTATGGGCAAAATACAGAATTACTGATTTTTAAAACAAGACTGAAACTATTCTATAAAGGATTAATGCTCTCATGGGAAAACACGCGACTAATTGTATTGACATCAAATAATAAGCGAATATGAAACCCGTTGAACCGAACAATTAATGATTTGAAATTCAAGCTGTATTTATTGTGAAAGAACAAAATGTTTTTGGTTGGTGGGCATAAAAAGTACTTGTAACGGGGTGGACTTGTGTAGCAGAATGAGGGTGAGAGGGGGTGGCACTTAACAATAACACATTATAGTACTGATAACCTACTGTGGGTGGGCATTACATAACCAAGACATGATCGGTAGCTACTATGCTGGGTAGTTGTGTGGTGTACACGTAATGTTATCACCAACAAGGTGGAAAAGGAAGGGGGTGGGTTTTG